TGTCACAACTGCTGAACCATTATGGCAAGCATCACAAGCCACCACTATCCTAAACAATGCTAAAAGTCTATCAGTACTTAACTACAACATCAGGTCCTTAAGCAAACACTATGATGACCTCCTAGCACTCCTTGAATCACTAAAGACACCCTTCTCCTGCATTATTCTTACTGAGACCTGGCTTAAGCAGGACACAATAGATATCTACCCTCTATCAGGATACACAGCAATTCACAACTGCAGAACAAACCAAGTTGGGGGTGGTATTGCAATCTATTACTCTAACCAATTATCTTGTCTTAGAAACCACTTGCTTTAGTGATGAATATGGGGAATACATTTTTGCCTAATTTTACTGTAAAAAACCTTAAGACGCCTATAACAATCGGTGCCATTTACCAGATACCTCACACAAACATCCCAAATTTCAGTGAGAAATTAAAGTCACTAATAACAAACAGACAAATGAATAAGCACCACCTTCTCTTAGCTGGAGACTTCAACATCAACCTTGGCTTACTAGATGATCAGCCTGTAACTGATTTCATCAACAATATGAACAACACACTTCTCATACCAACAATAACTAAACCAACCAGGCTCACTGAGACAAGTGCAACCATAATAGACCACATATGGACCAATATACTAGCCCCCCTTAAATCAGGGATAATCACAGATAGCACTACAGACCACTACCCTCCCTTTCCTCCTGACAAACATTAGTAAACCACCACTTGAATACAACAAAGTCTCATTTAGACTCCATGACGAGGCCTCAGTAAGGAAGTTCACAGCTGACCTAGAGACTGTTGATTGGCCTACAGAATTCTCCAAGGCCAATGGTATTGATGACTGGACAGACATTTTTCTTAACAAATTACTTAGACTAATACAACAAACATTGTCCTATAAAACAAAACAGATCACAAACAAACGGCTTGGTTGCCCATGGCTAACCAGCACCATTCTGAAATCCATTGACAAGAAACACCAATATGAAAAGCAATACAGACAGGGCTTAATACACAAAGATACTCTTAAACACTATTCATCAGCTCTCACCAAAGTGATAAAAAAAGCCAAACAACTATACTACTCCAGTAGATTCACAGACACTAGAGGAGATATAAAAAAGACCTGGAAAACACTCTCAGATTCTAGGGACTCACAAACTGAGAAAAACCAAGAATATTGTCCTAACTAAACCTAATGAAACACCACTACATCCCAATGACACAGCTAACAAGATAAACGACTTCTTCTCAAACATAGGATCTAATCTCGCCAGTAAAATCCCACATACCAATGCCCATGCCGGGGACTACCTAGATGGAAATTTCCCTAATTCCTTCTATCTTGCATCAACTGAGCCCACGGAAGTCATTGAGATCATAAAGTCACTTAAAAATAACTCGGGGAATCTGTCTCATGTCCCACCATTATACTGTACAAGCGAGCGGCCCATGTCCTTTCGCATGCTATTTCATTACTTTTTAACAAGTCAATAGAGACTAGCACCTTCCCAAAACTACTCAAGATGGCAAGGGTTACACCAATACATAAAGGTGGTGACCCTACAGACTTCATTGGAAAATAAGGAATATCCACTAGGAATTTTTATTGACCTAAGAAAAGCTTTTGACACAGTAGACCACGACATCCTACTCCACAAACTTGATCACTACGGTATAAGAGGCCATGCGCTTGCTTATTTCAAATCTTACATTACTAATAGGTATCAGTACGTCACCATTAAAGACACAGCATCAGCAACACGGCCACTTGATACTGGAGTTCCGCAGGGAAGTGTCCTTGGTCCCCTGCTCTTCCTCATATACATCAATGACCTTCCAAACGTATCCCAACACCTGAAACCCATTCTCTTTGCTGATGACACGACTTATGTCATCTCTCACCCTAATCTTGCCACCTCAACACCATTGTGAATGAGGGGCTGATTAAAATATCGACTTGGATGACAGCCAATAAACTTACGCTTAACACTGACAAAACTTATATTATGTTTGGTAGCAGAGCAGGAGATGCACAAATTAACATTAAGATTGACAACACTCTATTACCAGAAATAATGGGGGAAATTCCTAGGCTTATACCTTGACAACAACCTGAATTTCAGCACCCATATCCAGCATATAGCCAAAAAAAGTATCCAAAACGGTTGGGATCCTCTCCAAGATACGATACTACGTGCCGCAAAAATGCCCTTCTCACACTATACCACTCACTTATTTATCCATACCTCACCTATGCTATTTGTGCTTGGGGATCAACTGCAGCAACACACCTAAAGCCAATAAAACCCAACAAAAAAGCTGCAGTAAGAATAATCACTAACTCCCATCCCTGGCAACAAAACCCCCCACTCTTCATAGATCTAAACTTACTCCCAGTTCAGTACATCCACACTTACTACTGTGCAATCTACATCTACAGGGCCTTAAACTCTAATATCAACCTTGACCTAAAACGCTTTCTTGATAGTTGTGACAGAACCCCACAGCATAACGCCAGACACAAACATCTCTACACATTCCCCGTGTCCGACTAAACCTTTACAAAATTCAATGTATGTCAAAGGGCCCCAAAATCTGGAATACCCTACCTGAGAACTCTAGAACTGCAGACACATTCATCACCTTCAAAACTACCATTAGAAAACATCTTATCTCCCTGATACACCCCGTCAACTACTACACGAATACCACCTGGTGGTTCACACTTACACTCACTCACTCATTTGACCATAAAAAGAAATATTAATCTCAGTCTTAAATAATGAATCCTGTGATACTCCAATACTGAAACTATGTACTGTGCCAAAACAAAAGCATTCACATTGCTAAACTCACAAACTAGTATTCAGTCACTTAGCCATAATACCAACTTACCTCATAATTTGTAATATTTTACAATTAAGAATAAAACTAAGTATGCCCGAAATGCCTAGCCATGCTAAGCGTTCTAGTGGTACACTCTGTAATCACAATTTTACTACATGTAAACCAAACAATAACCAAATTTCTGTAAACTCAGCATTGTAATCCTTATAGAGAATAAACTTTGAATTGAATTGAATTGAAAGAATATGGAAGCTCTGGAAGAAAAAAAAAAAAAACAGATGTGGTCTATACAGATTTCACAAAAGTACTTGACAAATGTGATCATGCAGTGATGGCACATAAAATGAGGTCTTTTGGTATAATGGAAAAAGTAGGCAAATGTATATTAAAATTTTTGATGAATAGAATAAAGCAGCATCAGTAGCAGTAGCAAGCAAAATAAAATCTAACCTTAGCAAAGCAAAAAAAAAAATGTCCCACAAGGTGATTTTACTGTTTTCATCCTTAACACCAAAAATGAAAAGAGGCTAAAGCCATTTTGGAAAAAGGCAAGGGACGAAGCAAAGTCTTTTTTTAGAGTGGGCCTAACATGGTGGTCAATGGTGAAAAAATTTTCAACTGCTCAGATGGGAAAAAAAAAATGAATAAAAAGGGGCACTGTTTAAAAAACATAGTAGGCCACCTAATAAACAAAAGGAACATTGAACGCCCTGCAATAACATCGTCAGCGACCTATCATTTAGAGATGATCAAGCAAATGTTGCAAAAACTAAAAAATGATAGGACATGGTAATGAGACATTCAGATATAAAAACATATTGCTAATGGTGACACTATTCAATTACTTGTGTAATCCCACTTGTGCTGTCATAATTTGATACTTTCATTAAGATAAAACTAAAGATCCCGAAATGCCTGCAAAGAAGCAATTCTTTGGAACCCACTGGTATCCACAATTTTCTACTTATGAAAACAACAGATAATAAACAAATTTCTAAACTAAAGGATTGTAAAACTTACGAGATTATTTGAATTGAATTAATTGTCAGAATATTGGAAGGTCGGAAGAAATGAAATTTCAGTTTCAGCGGGTTTTTTGTGGTCTTTTACAGATTTCCTTAAGTTCTTAAACTAGCTTGATCATGCAATTTGATGTTTCACCTTAAATGCAGTTCTATTGGTCGTAATTTTTGGAAAAAAAAAAAAATGTATTTTTTATAAATTTTTTTGAATGGTAAGACACAAAGTAGCAGTAAAGTCAAAAATCTAATTATGCTAACGCGAAGTGTCCCACAAAGGCGATTTCGCCGTTTGATCCCAATTTACACCAACCTTTGAAAAGAGGCATGAACCCTATTTTTGAAAAATTTCAGCAAGGGGTACAAAGAAACATTCTTTTTGGATGGGCCTAACATGGTGGTAAAAATTGGCAAATTTCCAATTCAGAATAAAAAAAAATGAATCAAAATGGGCCATAAAAACTAGTGGGACCCCCCTAAAAAACAAGGGCATGTCAACCATCCTGGCCTAACTCGTCATTATATTCTTTTAAGATTTTTCATACAAAAAATTACAAAATTTACTGAAAAAATGATAGGGATGGGTTATGGAACAAGATTATAAAATAATATCAGGTGCACTATGAAAATTATTGGAATCCCAGTTGGGTTGCTGTTTATTTATGATTTCCATTTTCCATCCGGTACTATGACCCTCAGATTCAGAGATCGTTTTTCTCGTAAAAGACAATAAAGCATTTATTTCCGGGGAATATAGTATTCCATTTATTCCTCTCACGACCATGAAAAGCAAATACAAGATAATACATACAAAATAACCCAAATAGGCGTTTTAAAAATACGATGATTGTTTTTTTCCATTGCCCAAATTATGTGCCAGGATTTTTGATGGTGCAGCTCTGACACAAACCTTGTCGTAATTTCCAGTCTTCTTCAGGTTATTTGAATTGTTCCTGTTAGAGTATTTGTAGAACTTTTTGTTCTTAAGATGTATTTTATACGCGAAAGTCAATTAATTTACCAGTAAATCATAGTGATTTTATTAAATGTTTCTCAGAAAGGACAACAAATCTGATGGAATTTGAGGTGAAACTCTGTGATATCTAAAGACTGAAAGTTGTTGCTAACTTTTTCTCACTTTGCAGAATTGGCCAGTCTTGTGAATAGTTTAAGCAGTGCATGCAGCAGCCTGCGGGACAGCAGCAGAGACAGCACAGCAGCCAGCACTAATGACAGCACAGCTGTCATTGTTGACAGCAGCATAGGTGATAGCAGCAGAGCAGGTAGCAGGCACAGCCTGTCAGACAGTGGTCAAAGCACAGTAGATCGCAGCACGGTAGGTAGCAGACACAGCACTGCTGATACTGTCAACAGTGGCCTCAGCAGCCGTAACATTGATAGCCTAAACAGCAGAAGCAGTGTTCTGAGCAGTGGCGGATGTAGTAGTAGAGGGAGTGTGGGGAGTAGCAGTAGAAGCAGCAGCAGCAGGGCAGGTAGCAGCAGAGATGATATGCAGGCCTCACCAGGAAGTGCTGAACTGGAGGAGCTCTCTGGGCGGGCTCCTGCTGGTGCAGTGTTTGATGATGAAGTGACTCCTTCAGGAATCAACCTGTCCACACACCCGGTGAAGCCTGTGCTTCACTCCAGGGAGGACCTTCAGCCAGCTCCAACGCTCCACTCCAGGGAGAACCTACAGCCAGCCCCGACACTCCACTCCAGGGAGGACCTTCAAACAGCTCCAAACTCTCCACTCTAGAGACGAACCTTCAGCCAGCTCCGACGCTTTACCTAAATACTGCTGTGAGCTCTACCCAGAGTACCAAGAGCAATGCCTTTCCATACAATTCCCCAGCACAGGATGTGGGGGCAAGGAGGCTGGCAGATGTGGCTTACAGAGACCTCAGCACAGAGCCTCAACAGTATCAGGAGGTGGGGAGTGCAGGTGACCCTCACCACACTAGTTACCAGGACCAGCCAGGTTACGATGAACACTGCAATAGAAATGACAGGGTGGGAGGGGCCTTTACCATCTGCCATGAGGCTGGAGAGATGGAGAAGCCCACCATGCATGATCAGCTAAGTGACAGCACCACACTGGAGGATGTCTTGGATTCTCTCTTGGCTTTGCCCTCTGCCTCCAGATCACCGAGCCCTGTTAGCAGCCATCCACTGGGGAGGCCCTTCAGCCACCCTGGGTTCACCAGGGCACATGATGAGAGAGATGCTGCTCTCTGTACTTCTCACCGCAGCCTGGACCAGGCCCAGGGGCAGGTTGCAGGACACCCTCTTGATGAACTCCACTATGGCTACCTTCGCAATCACGACCTTCCTACCGACTTCAAGAACGAAGGTTACCGCAAGTCCTTCACTTACAGCTCGTGCAGTGGTGACAACAGCTTCCATCAACAGCAGCCAGTCGGGACGGCCTTTCCTGGGGGACGTCCCTACGACCCTCCTCCACCCTCAGAGGGATCCTCCGTGTCCTTCTTCCTCGGGAGGGACGAAGGTGAGAGCACCGAGTAAGTTTCATATTGTTGGTTTGCTTCTGCTTTTTGTGACTGACCTCTCACCACCTCCCCTCTTGCCCCTCTGTGACATAATGCTGATGCCACCACATCGGCACCAGCATGATGTCATCATGGGAATGTGTCTGTCTGTCCCCTTCCCTTCCCCCACCCTTTCCCTTCCTTATCCAAGTGACCTCATCCCACATGATCGTAACTGAAGGTATTCCAGCGAGGTCATGGTTTGCTCTCACTAGGCCTCAAGGGAATCATAGGTGTCATGGGATTCCTGAGGGAGCTTTCGAGATTGACCATACATAAATATTGTTGTCTGGGGCGAGGTCCTCCATATACTGCTTAGGACTTGTATCAATACAGATTTGTGTCGTGTAATTATCTGAAAAAATATATAATACTCGAGGAACTTCCATTCAAATTTGTTATAATTTCATATAAAACTCAGTAAAATGCACAATTTACAAAAAATATATAACAATTTTCTATTTGCAGTTAATTTCTCGAGTGCAGACATAGAGTGTACAGAATGAGTAAGTTTTTTTCCTTCACTCGGAACACACTTAAGTACCAGAGCCATTAGGCTACTGACCTGCTAACTACCTTGACACAAGGCGTGGGTATGACCCTCACTCATTTCCCTTTCTAGGAAGCTGTGACTCTAGGGTGACCCTTGACCTGTGACCTTTTCCAGGCCAAGCACAGGTAGTCTAGTATCCCGGACCAAACGACATTACCTCTTGTGTTGTTCAATGACCAAGCAGTAGTTTAGAGAGAGAGAGAGAGAGAGAGAGAAAGAGCGAGCGAGGGAAGAAAGGGAGGCTTCGCTTGTCTCCAACCTCCCCCCTCAACCCCCAAGGTCGTCGACAGCACCACCCCTTTGCCCCCTTGCCCAGGTACAGCCACTGACATCATTATTCATCTGCGCGACACAGCATTCTCTTTTAGTTTGCACACTGCGGGGCCAGAGCAGGATGGGCACCCGTGGCTGGTGGCAGATTTGAACCTGAACTGATCACTTCCATGGCCTTAAGTTTGATGCCCACACAACCCACACCACCACCAAGGTGTCATGGGAAGGTTCATCCAGACTTTTAAGGTTGAGCTGTTATCCAAATATTAGGGTAAACTATATTAATTTCTAGATTATTAGATAAAATTCAACCTATTTTTCATATCAGATGAACATTGTTAATGCTTAATATATGTATGAATGTATGTTTAGCACAGTATGTCATGCCCAGGAATCACTAACTGTGTGACTGAAATTATATTGAACTACCACAGTGAAAAATACTCAAAATGTTCTGACTACAAACTTATGAAATTAGCCCTAAATTTCCCTCTTTGGATAAATCCAAATAACTGAAAAGTGCAAACAGTTCCAAATGAGCATGTATCTGAAAATATTGTTCAATAATAGGACATTCCTTTTTCGCTCTTGGCACTCTAAGCCATTTTTCAATATACAGTGGAACCCCGGTTTTCATGATTAATTCGTTCCAGAAAGTCTGAACGAAAAACTGAATTGCACGAAAAATGAAGCAATATTTCTCATAAGAAGTAATGTAAATCCAATTAATCCGTTCCAGAAACCCAAAAATATTAACAAAAAATGAGAATGAAAAATAAATATGACTAATGAAATGGATAAATGAACATTCAACACCACTTTTACCTTTACTGAAGAGACTTGTTGGAGTATGGAAGACGGCGAGGAGGGGAGAGGGAGGAGAGGTTATTGTTTGGAAGGAGAATCCCCTTCCATAAGGACTTCAGGTATAAAGGCCCTATGGCACTAGGGCCAGTTTGAGAGTTACTGTACCCCTGTCACAAAAAATATGTCCAGAAAGATCTGCTTCTGGCATTTTTTTAAGATTTGCCTAAAATGGGACAAGGCATTCTCATTGAACATGTTGCAGACATGGCTTGCAACAGCTTTGTTAGGGTGATATTTCTCCACAAAACTTTGCAACTCACTCCACTTTGCACACATGTCCTTAATCACTGAAGAAGGCACATTCTCCCCTCTCTCTGCCTCCTCCTCTGAAGCAATTTCCTCAGCTGCAATCTGTTGCTGTTCCAGTTGAAGGTGTTGCAGCTCTTCAATGGTTAGCTCTTCCCTGTGGTTGTCCACCAACTCTTCTACATCCTGGCCACTGGCATCCAACCCCATGGACTTCCCCAAAGACACAACAGATTCCACAACAGGCATAGGGTCATCAGGGTCAGCATCAGCCCATCAACTGCCTTGCCTTTTCACAAATTATCAACTTCAAAACACTATCTCCCGCGCGGGGTGATGCTCACTCAACGATAAACAAAGACAGACTGAGTCACTCGGCGCTTGAGTGGCCGAGTGACGTGGGCAGGCAGGTGGATGCGTTTGGTATGGACCACTGTCAACTCTACGAAAACTGAGGTGATGCACGAAAACTGGGACAAAATTTCGACAGAAAAAAGTCATCAAAAACCGAATCCTACGAAAACTGGGGTGTATGAAAACCGAGGTTCTACTGTACAGTGGACATTCACAACTCTCACACACAAATAACCCACACATAGGAGAGAGGAGCTTACAACGATGTTTCGGTCCAATTTGGACCATTTACAAAGTCACACTAACAGAAAGGAGAGAAGGGGGCAGTATATAAAGGCCAGTAGACAGGGACGGGACAAGAGAGGTAGTATAAAAGGAAGTAGAGAGGTAGTAGTAGTATAGTGGAGTAAGTCAAAGACCAAGAAAGAGGAGCACTGCAGGAGAGCTAGGGGCCCAATGACTCTACTATTACTATTACCACTACCTCTCCTACTACTTCTCTTGACCTGTCCCTGTCTGCTGGCCTATATATATTGCCACCTCCTCTCCTCTTTGCAAGTGTGACTTTGTAAATGGTCCAAGTCAGACCGAAATGTCGTCGCAAGCTCCTCTCTCCTATGTGCAGATTATTTGTGCATTGTTCCAGTCATGGTATTGTACCTTTTTGTTATTCATAACTCACATAGGAACTATGCTCCTGAAAACTGCACTATCAATTATTTCCATATGGACAAAACAGAACTGCATTCCTCAGATCTAAAACTCCAGTGAGGATCAGACAGTGAACATAAAGAGTACGTGTAGATACAAAATAGTTACATCAATACTGCACAGCAGTGGTTCTCAACCTTCCTATACAAGTCTGCCACATTTGATAGTCAAATGTGTGATGAGGGCTACATGGTTTTGTTGATATTGTGCAGTGTGAAACTTACATAAAAGTGAATTCATAATTTCATGCGAGGGCTGCATTCATTTCCTAGAAGGCCACATGTGGCCTGCAGGTTGGGGACCCCTGATGTACAGTATTTGTTACTTAGCTTTAAGTAAGGTTGGTGGGGCTAAACATCCTGGAGTAGAAAGGTTGGTTGCGGTCCTACTAGGTTGAGTTGACGGTTAGGGTTGATGAGATGCAATGTTGAAGGTTGGGGGATCTTGTGATGGTGATGCAGCTCCATCTGTTGATGGTTGCAGTGGAGTCCTTGGGCGTTCTGTCAGACGTTCTGCTGCCAGTTTGTTTTACCCTGCAGTTCTTTAAACATAAGATGATAAGGACCAACTGCCTGCTCCAGAGCATGCTTTTCAGCTTTGCTTCTAGACCAAGTCATGGTTCTTATTAATAAACAAGTCTGCAACTTTACCAGCAGTGCGCAATGACTCTAGCATTACCTGGAGGTTATTCCAGGTAATGCTAGAGTCATTGCGCACTGCTGGTAAAGTTGCAAACTTGTTTATTAATAAGAACCATGACTTGGTCTAGAAGCAAAGCTGAAAAGCATGCTCTGGAGCAGGCAGTTGGTCCTTATCATCTTATGTTTAAAGCATTAATTGCAGTGTCAACATCAGTCGTTCATCCTCATCATCCTGCTCTCTGCAGCTGGGAATTTAATTCCTGCAATATTCCCCCTCGTCTGGCTGCACATCTTCATCTCTCTCACCCGGAATTCTCCTTGCCAGACCAACAATTTTCTGATCCTGACTTTCCACTGATGGAAAACATGTGAAATCATTCACCACACTAGCAACCATATTTTTCTCCAACTAGCATTTCTGTTTACATCCCCTCACCCTCTCTCACACCATCCCCTGCACTGCTAAGACAATGGAGTTTTCCAACGAATAGCAGGGGAGAGGGGGGACGTCTTCTGCTGCTCTCTTCAATGGAAATACGTGCCTCAAACAGAAATGAATTCCACTCTGGTACATCTCAATGGGAATGTGACATTTCAATTGGAAATGAAAACTGTATTTCAATCACAGAATATCGAAAATGTGAGTTATTATCACATGACTTAGGAGTATCTACTGCACCCTCAAAATGGCTTCTGAAAAGGGCAGTGCACTGAGTTTTATAACATCAAAAAGAAAGGGGACATACAATGCATGTACAGAGACAAATCTTAAAAATACTGAGAGATTATAACATTGGTATACCAGATAGTAAGGTACTTTACAATATATTTATGTCAATGTAGGCAGGATTTTTTTTTCCATCTCTCTGGAGTTTACCTGGAGAGAGTTCCGGGGGTCAACGCCCCCGCGGCCCGGTCTGTGACCAGGCCTCCTGGTGGATCAGAGCCTGATCAACCAGGCTGTTGCTGCTGGCTGCACGCAAACCAACGTACGAGCCACAGCCCGGCTGATCAGGAACTGACTTTAGGTGCTTGTCCAGTGCCAGCTTGAAGACTGCCAGGGGTCTGTTGGTAATCCCCCTTATGTGTGCTGGGAGGCAGTTGAACAGTCTCGGGCCCCTGACACTTATTGTATGGTCTCTTAACGTGCTAGTGACACCCCTGCTTTTCATTGGGGGGATGGTGCATCGTCTGCCAAGTCCTTTGCTTTCGTAGTGAGTGATTTTCGTGTGCAAGTTCGGTACTAGTCCCTCTAGGATTTTCCAGGTGTATATAATCATGTATCTCTCCCTCCTGCGTTCCAGGGAATACAGGT